AACACCCCCAGGGATGGGGCAGCCACAGCTTCTCTGGGCAACCTGGGCCAGGCTCTCCCCACCCTCACAGCAAAGAATTTCTTCCTAGTGTCTAATCTAAATCTCCCCTCTTCCAGTTTTAAGCTATATTTAGTTGCTGGAGCTACATTAAATTCAGCCCCTTGGCACAAAGATGAAGTCAGCATTGGTCAGGCTAAGTGAAACAGATGAGAGACCAAGTTTTTCCTGCTTCCAGAAGATCATGGAGTGTGATTCAAAGTCCTTATGTCTTCTGGACTGGCTGCTTCCTAAGGAAGAAGTCATGAAGTCCATGCAGAGGCAGGATCACATTTCCCATCAAAGAACTGGTGCTGGTGTGTATCTCCATGTTAAATCCCAGCCAGTGCTGGAAGAATGATGCACAGAAATCTGCTCCTCAAAAGCTCATTTCCCCTCTTGGGGGTTAGCAGTGGTGCTGCTCTCACAGGTCCCTCTCATGGTGTCTTCTTCACTTGTGTTCATCCTTGCAGTCATTTCTAGCCTGCGATTGCCCAGGAAAAGCATTGGGAGTGGGTAACTACAAGGTGAAGGAGCAGCAGATGTCAGCCCAAAATCAAGGTTTGGTGCAGATCCATGCTACCTCTCACCCCTGAAAATTATCTGATATCCCTCAAATTCTCATTTTTCTTCTATGAAACTGTTAATTGAGTGAATAACAGAGGGGAAAAAAAGTGAGTCACGATGCTGAGCTGTGGGAGGCATCACTGAACCCAATGAGAATCTGCCAGTTTATAGCAGGAAAAGAACTGGCCCATGAAATACACCCAGTGATGAGATGGAATAAGGAGGATGAGAACCCAGGTACCTGTTGCACTGAAGGACATTTCAAATGTGTTTTCCTCATTGCAGAAGCAAAATCAGAGGCTTTAGGGCAAGAGCGACGATGAGAGTTTTGAGTTTTGAGTCAAGTGGGGTTTGGCTCAAGCTTTTCACCAGTTTCTGTCCACCTGGATTTGAATCTTTGGAGCATCACCTTGAATTCCAGGACAAAAGGAAATGTGGTCTGTGGCTTGTGACCTGGCTGTAAGAGTAAGGAGATGAGAACCCAAATCTTGGCTCTGCCACAGACTCTCCTTTGAGATGGGAGGTGAGGTGGTGAATATCCCTGTCATCAGCTCCCAGGGATGAGGACACCCTACCAAGCTGTCATGCCAGCTTCTCTGATATTTCTTCCTATCTAAAATAATAATAATAATAGGAAAAAATAAAAAAATAAAATCAAGGTGTCCTAAATTCCCCCACTGCTTCCAAACCCACAGATCATTGGCTGTTGTGGGGTTGAGTAAATGACAACACTGGGCTGGTGTGATACCCAGGCATGGGCAGGATCCCAGCAGCCCTCTCTGTAGGTGGTGTCTGATGCCCAGGGATAGGCATGGGTGCTCATAGAACAGGACCTGACAGCACCATGTGGATGCATACACCCCTTGATGTGAAGTGGGGCTTCATGGAAGCAAGGGGAGAAAGCAATGGGGGATAAGTTTGGGTTTTCAAACCCTTGGATGTTGAGTGGGTAATGCTCAATGCAGTCTTGTTTACACCTCCAGCTTCCTTTCCTGGCACTGCTCCTTTCCCTGTGATGGCCCTTCTATTTGTGCAGCTTCATGAGGAACCAGATCAAGAAGCTGATCCAGCTGAAAAACAAACCTCCTCCAAACAAGCTCTTTCTGAAGCTGAGCAGTTGGGCCACTGGCCTTGCCCATACTTGTATGCTAAGGGAAGCCTGAAATAGCAAATGAAGTCATGATTTTGATGATAAAACTGGCCTGTGTGTTCACACAGGTCCTTGGCACCTCTCTGAGCACCACTGAGTTCTGCCCAGCCCTTGTCAGCCAGGCTGCCCCTGGAGCAGGTCTTGTGCTGAGGTCAGTCCTTCCCTTTGCCACAGAGCTACCCTGCAGGACCTGCTCCAGGTGTGAGGTGCAGTTAGGAGCCCATGGGACCCCATCTCCTTGTCTGAGAGAGGAGACATTACTGCTGCCTCCTCACACCTTCTGTCTGGCTGCCTCTGAGCTGGCAGGAAAACAATGCTTCATTCAGTCTGGCTCAGATTGAGGTGTTGATGAGAGTGGGTTTGCAGGAAGAGCCCTCAGAAGGCTCCCTGGAGAAGCAGCAGCTGCCTGCAGAAGAGCACACTCCTGTTTCTCATGGCTCAGAGAGCCACAAAAGGGAAATAGCCCTGCATGCTCATAGCAATGGTTGTGTCTCTCAAGAACCTCTTCTGACTCCATCCACAAGCTGTAACATTGAATGTTGAGTGTAGGGTGACATCCCAGAGCAGAGGTGTGAGAGGACAGCCCTCAGGCTGCACAGCAGCCCAGCCTTCACTTGTTCCAGAGCTTGCTCAAGTATCCAGAGCAAAGCAGCTCTAACACAGCCCTGGGCTCAAAGGCCTCTTTTCCTATGACCTCTGTGGGTAAGAGCTTCCCTGGAGAGATGGGACTCTCAAGTCTGAAGCCACTCCTTGTTGACTCAGGCCAAGTCTTTTTAATAGGAGCTTTCTCCTTTCCCAAACACCCTGCAGCACTGGGCTGCCTGCAGGGGTGTCCCATGGTTGGAGCTGGTCCATGCTGGAACCTGCTGCAGTGACCCCAGGAAGGCACTGGCTCTACAAGAAGATCATGAGGTTGGGCAGTTGAGCTCCAGCTCTTGCACCAGTGCTTTTTGATGCTTTCACACACAGTGAAGCAGAACTAGTGGAAGAGATTTCAACCTCCTTTTCCACCTTTGACACACTGGGCAGTAGAACATTCTTCCTGGGAACGAATAATGTGGATCTAGATCCTCCAAGCAGAGCTGAATGTGAATCTTTCCCTCACCACAAAAAGCTACATAAGACAGACTGAAGAAGTCTCATCCTTTTAGCACTGTCTGGTCCTTGGGATCTCCCCAAAGCTGTTATTTTTCCTTTTTTTTTGGAATGATAAACTAAGCATGGATTTGAACATGGAAGACAAAGGAAAACAACTCCAAAAAACCAACCAACCAAAGGCAACAAAGAGAGACAACATGCAAAGCTCTTCTTCTTTTCTGGGGTGTTACAGAGATGCCTCTACTGGAGATTCTTTCACAACATTTTAAGAAAAAGCTGTTGGGGTAGCACTCCCGGTCCTTGGGATTTCCCCAAAGCTGTTATTTTTCCTTTTTTTTGGAATGATAAACTAAGCATGGATTTGAACATGGAAGACAAAGGAAAACAACTCCAAAAAACCAACCAACCAAAGGCAACAAAGAGAGACAACATGCAAAGCTCTTCTTCTTTTCTGGGGTGTTACAGAGATGCCTCTACTGGAGATTCTTTCACAACATTTTAAGAAAAAGCTGTTGGGGAAGGTTAAATCAGAATTATTTCTGCTTTGGATTAATAGGCTTCTTGCAGATTGATTTGGTCTAGTTCTTGTTAATGATTGCCTTGACTACAGTGCTGTGAGCACTGACATCCAGATGATTCTTCCTCTTGGCTCTATTATTTGGGATTGAACAGAGATTTGTTATCAAGGATGGAGCAGCAAACTTGAGTTTTATTGCCTGTGCAGCTCAGAATAGTTTTTTCCAAGGCCAGGACCCAGCATGGGTCCATGAGATATCTAAGTGACAATGTATTTGGTTCCTTTCTGTTCCAGTCAAGGGGAGAGCTAATCCTGGCCTCAGGTTCAGAACCAGAGTCTCAAAACAAGACCAGGGACATGTTTGCAAAGCCCTGGGATTTGATTCCCTTTCCTCAACCAAACACCAGTCGTGGTAAAGAGCTCAAAGTTTGCTTGTCAGTCATGGTCTCCCCCAGCCCCATGGACACTGCTGGTGGCAATGGGGGAGGGAGGTCACTTCTCAGTGGTGACAGACTCATAAAGAAGAGTTGGAAAATAGGCTGTGAGAGGATGACCAGCTGGTTGATCTCACCAGATCCCAAGGTAGGCAGGTGGTCTGTAGCACAACAGAAGAAAATGTCTTTGCACACATGGTTTTTAATGAGGTGTTAATGGGGCATTGGGTGAGCAGGACAAAGAAGCAACTGAGGATGTGGTTTGAGGTTTTGGCTGATGTAAAGCCAGAGGCCTGGAATAAAATGAAATCTGGGCTCTTATGGTCCCTTGTTGTCATTTCCAACAGGAGAGTGACACCAGGTGAGCAGGCATCTCTGCTCTAAAATCACAGCTGCCTTTGGGGACCTTTTCTTGTGCTAGTGAAGTCTCCAGGTCCTCTCAAAGTGCTGGCTGTGGGAATAGGGACCTCTGAGAAACAACACTGGAGGTGGGGAGAAATCTGGCTTGTCTTCTTCTCTCAAGCAGTAGAGGGAGGTGGGGCAGGACACCCTCCCAGGACTAGCTGGGTGGCTGCAGAGAGCCTCAGTGCCAACAATTAACACATGTGAAACTGATGAAAGAAACCAATGGGGGATGCTTACTTTGCTGCCCACATGAGAGAGCTTTCTCCCTTCCTTCTCCCTCCAGCCCTACATCTGGTAGTGATTTTGCATCCCAAAATAGCAAGGAAGTGGTAGAATGGGGCTTAGCTAAGCTTGGCCCTTGAGGGGAATACAGTCTGTAGGAGGCAAACAGAGAAGGGGTGTTGAGAAGAGACTTCATTTCCCATTCCCCTGGTGTCTGGCTGCAAAGGGAGAACTGATGGATGATCCCATCTCCCATGTTTTGCCTGCTGGTGGTCTCTCCTCTGCATTGCCTGGACTTTGGGTACAGTGCTAAGGGCCATGACCATGATCCTGGCATCCTCCTGACCCCTCAGCACCTGCAGTTCTGGAGCAGGAGAGAGAGGCTGTGGCAACTTTGCTTTCCCACACCTTGTGCTGGAAGATCTTCCCCATAGCCTAACTTGAAAAACCAGTGATTTGGGCTTTCTTCAGTTGCCTCCCTGACATGCTCTGAGCTCTGTGGAGGGGCTGGGGCTGAGCAGAAGGGTCTCAGTCCCAGCCATGCAGCCTGCAGTGCTGTGGGGACACTCACCATGCACCTTGGGCACCTTGGCTTTCAGGTGTCTTT